CTTGTGAGAATGTTGACCTTGTCTAGCAGCTTTGTTAGCTTCCTGGTGATGATTATTACAGGTTCCAAACGTCCTAGTTTGGGGACTACACCTCGACCAACCGAAGCAGCCAGCTCATGATTGTCTCGCTCGCCCGAAGCTTCTCGATAGGGTAGGAAATCATCATAGCCTGAAGTTGCGCGTCCATCTCGTGAACCAGTTTTCTAACGCCAGCTATGGACCGAGCCAGTTCGAGAGGCTTGATTTGGTGCCATGTTGTTTGCAACTTGAGAGCAGCATCGTCAGCCGACAAGCAAGCGACTTTAGCAACATGAATGCCAACAACGCTGGCCATTGGCAACCTTGTCGGGGTGTCGGGGAGCTCGCTGGGTGTTGGACGGGTATTTGTTGGACATGCTCTTGCAGTTGTGGCTTTCGAATCCTCGTTGCGTTCACATCCAGCTGCAACCTTCGCGCGCGGGCTGCATGCCTCCGCGCGTCAGGCTTGTGCTCTTGCTGCCTCCGCGTAATGTCATGTTTTCGTACATCGCTGCATCGTCTTTATGCCAAGTTCCCTGTTGGTGAGTCAAATCCATCATTGAACGAGAAAGAATTGCCAAAAGGCGGAGATGAAGATGAGGCGAAGTTCCAAGGTGATGGCTAAGAATGATAATGGCTTGCGAAAGGAGATGCGAAAACGTGGGTTATTGTCGCTCGAAGAGCAAATCTGACATACCGAATGCCATTGTCTGATTACTGCCTCTGTCCAATAAGGTGCTGGTGAAGCTAAGAGCGTATTGCACCTGCCGTAAAAAATAAGGATCACGTTGTTGAGATCACCAACATAACAATAGCATGATTATGAGTGGTAAAAAAAGATGTATTTGGGGCACATCACGATCCTTGTTGGTGTACCATATGCAAATTTGTAGTGGTGTTACTGTGCGACCAGGCGAGTCGCCACAAATTACGTGACGTCACGAGCATTATAAATTTGCATTGACCATGTTGAGCGTGTTCCAGGCTGAGACACAACAACTTCATTGGTTCGAGTTCCCTTTTTATAATGTTTTGGTTGCGACTGTGTGACAGCGGTGCAATACTATGAGAGTAGAGCGGCTACACTTACCCATATTTATTTTACCTTGCATTATCTTGCTTGTTTCAATTTTCTTGTGCTTGTTTTCCTAGTTTTGTTGCTTTACTATAGATACTATAGTGTTGTTGTTTTCCTAGTTTTGTTTCTATTTTGGTTTATCACCGCGTGACTTTGCGTCACACGTGATTCCACTTACATGATCCTACCGAATTCGGGAAGGATCCATTCAGGACGCTTTGCGACCCTATTCCGTTCCCGTTATATCCTGGTTACTGGCCTATTTTCATGCCTACATAAGCCCCGTAGTTGGACCCAGGATTCATGATTCAATAACTGAACTCAATCCTCGATCCTCACAAATACGATTACGACTGTATGACTTTTTGTTAACAAGGATCAACCTCTCTTTGGTACAGAAATGCAAAGATCACCTTGAGATTGGTAGTTACCATGATCTTTTTGAGAACACTAAAAGTGGGTGGCTTAGACTACTCATGATTTCGATCCTCACTCTGTTGGTACAGCACCTGGTACAGTTATCACTGTACAGTGGTAGGTAAGGCGCTGGTATGCAAGGATCGTTGAAATGATCCTTACTGTTTTGCGATCTTCATCTATATGTACCACGCTCGAATACAATTTTGATAATAGGCGTTTGTATAAGCCTTGAGATCGTCGTAAGCTCATGTGATAGTAAACTAGTTTGCATATAGATGATGATTGTAGGTTGAATGATGGCTCCTTCACCTGGAGGTTGTATTTAAAGGAGCAGCTAGACTCTTGATGGTGGTTCTCAAACCATCTCGCACCAACAAGAGGCAATGGGTAAGCTCAGGCTGGGACGTGCTCAGCATGTTTGCGAACGGCTGTGGAGCTTCACAAAGCCGTGTGGGGGAGTTGAGGTGAGAGGCTGACAACCCATGCCAGAAATTTCCGAGCTCACATCCTACCGAAGCTTTGAGATGTTGGAAATGGACACGGGAATGGCCCAAAGTGGTCTTTCCAAGGGCTACAGGTGTCGTCCTGGGAGGGTGTGGGTGCGCTGACCCACCAAGTTAACATGCCCTTTTAGCCCAGTTGGTTAGCGAACTGGACATGGTGGAGAAGTGGGGTAGAGACCCGGGTTTGATTCCTGCTGTCGGCAGATTTCCTGTGCCCTAGTGGTGGGCCCTCCCAGTGAGGGGAGTGTTGAAAATGGAACGTCCTGTTGTCCAAATTTGACTCCCGAACGTCCTGTCTGGATGGTTTAGAAGCTCCGCCGGACATCTCCCATAATCAGAAAATATTAGGGCGTGGAACATATGGAAAATCCTCATAACAAACGACACGGTTCGGAAGGTTAGGACGTGTAACATTGTACCGACCAACAAAAAAGGGCGACCATTGGGCGGTTATGACAATTATTTAGGGTAACACCCGCATATTCGGATTACGTGGTAGTCACACTAACTCCATAATACATTCAGAAATTTTGTATACACGCACTTTGGATTAAAACTCTAAATTCTAATTACGCGGGTAGTTAAGGGTGGGTGCCCCACAGCTCGTGAACAAAATGGTCATTCTGTCTTAAATGTGTGGCGGGGTTTCCTCAAACGTTACACTGATTCGCATTCGCCTAACCCAACCATTTGGTCGGGTTTTAGGCTTGATCGGTACAATGTTACATGCCTTTACCGCTCTAAAGCACAACCGTTCACTAAATATACAATTTTTAACCGTTCATGTAGTATGGTTCGTTTGGAAAAGTTCCTAGATGTTCCACGCCCTTACGTGCCCAGGGAGTGATGTGAATTGTGCGTCGCAAAGAGGCGGAATCACGACATATTTTTTTGCGACATTGTTGTGAACCGAGTGGAAGTCGCACAAAGCTAAAAGAGAACAATCAAACGAGCCTTTCGTTACATTCATTAAGAGAATTTGAAGAGTTTATGGGCCCTTTTGCACATAGACACACGAGAGTGGGTCTTAGGTGTGACCAAATGATACCCTTTGAGCCACCGTTTTAAGGGCTTGTTTTCCCCCATACTACAACCATGTCAGCTGAGGGTTATGAGAGAAAAAACCAATCCGTATGTAAGAAGTTCACATTAAAACCCGCGTGTCAAGAAAGCCAAAAGTGGTTCAACCTTCCTAAGGTTGGTTGGATGCTACCCGGTTTCCCATGGTGGCAGCTTTCCAAACACACAAACCTGGTTGCCAACATTCACCACACCCCAACACTGAGCAGCGACAAGAGCCCAGTTTGGAAGGATTGCACGGAACTATCGCCCAACTCCAACAAGCCTATACATGAGGCACATGGGCAAGAGAAACCTGCCCCAAAAACGCCAGTCATTATTCTAGAGTTTCTAGAACTTGTTTTAGACGCACGCAACCCACCAACTAGCCCACATACCGACTTCTTGGCGCCTGCAAATCTCGAATTATAAAAGGTATGGAATGGAAGAAGTCGCGGAAACCGACATTGTGGGAAATATAGCCGTGCGTGGTGACGTTCGAAGCGGGCGTGGCGTTTGTGTGAATCACCGCATGAGGGAATGGTAACCGTGGTGCGTGCGTAGGTTAATCGTGACGCTGGAAATGTCCAGTCGGGGCGTGGTGACCTCGTCGCACGTTCATACCCTACACGCGAAGGCATACTCGGGAATCATGGCATGCCAGCTCTCGTACTTACGGGCGTTTTCGAGGAGGGGGTTTTACACGATTTCGATTTCGAGGCAATTGGAAATCATGCCGTGCGTATTTTCCGTATGTTTTCACTGTAAGCCCTTCCGTACTTGACGATGGGGCTTTTCCCGCGCTCTGAGCTAAGCTTTCTAGCGACGAGTCGGAGGGGTGGGGTACTCCATGGGAATGCAGTGACATGGGGTTGGAAATTGAGATTGAGAGAAAGGTTGGTGTGGGTCGTTGCTTTAGGTTTCGTGCGACTGATATCCGGCGATTGTGCTCATGTCGCATTTCAACCCGGGTAACTTTGGCGAACCAAGACTGTAGCATGCGAAGCAAGTCAATGTGTCTCGAAACTTCTTTAGTTTGCCGGCCAATCGGGTTTTCATTCCCAACCAACCTACCTGAGGTTGAAATGATTGGTCTGCGGGTTTTAAACAAATGCACACTCTACTCTACACTGAGCGGATGAACATGCCTACACATCACTTCGAAACCTAGAAATGAGATGCAGGGAGCACCGTGCTGCGGTTAACACATAACGCTCAACCATTGAGCTCCGAGATACGCGGTTGCTCCATGACATGTGCGAACTGCTTTGCCGCCTTAGCCAAAGAGGGTTTAATCCCAGGAACATATGGGATCTGGATGCCAAAGAAGAGAGAGAGAGAGAGGGAAAGATGAGTTAGGACCACTCTCCAAAACCGGCGGCTCGTTCGAGAGAGAGCGAGAGAGAGAGAGAGAGAGAGAGAGAGAGAGAGAGAGAGAGAGAGAGAGAGAGAGAGAGAGAGAGCCATTTCTAGTCCTGTTTCCTTAGTATAAAGGCCTTGGATCCAGGCTAGTGAGCTCATTATTCACTGATGAGTTAGGACCACTCTCCAAAACCGGCGGCTCGTTCAAGAGAGAGCGAGAGAGAGAGAGAGAGAGAGAGAGAGAGAGAGAGAGAGAGAGAGAGAGAGAGAGAGAGAGAGAGAGAGAGAGAGAGAGCCATTTCTAGTCCTGTTTCCTTAGTATAAAGGCCCTAGATCCAGGCTAGTGAGCTCATTATTCACTGATGAGTTAGGACCACTCTCCAAAACCGGCGGCTCGCGCCGGCCGCCTTCGGCGGCCGCCGCTCGACAGCGCGGCCTTCGGCCGCGCGCGAGGGGTGGCAAGGAGAGAAGCAACACAAGACTTTCAAAGACAGCCAATACATTATGAGTAACTAACAAGGCATTCTAAGAGCAACACCCCCGGGCGAGGGAATTCCGCCATGGGGAAGCCTAAGGCACGGCCCAGCACCACCAGGGCCACCAAGGGGAAAGCAACATTCACTCGGCGAGGATCCAGCACAGCCTCCCGTCCATCCAACGGAGGACGGACGAGGCTGCTGACACAAGGCCGAGGGGGCTCCCCCGGGCAGACTCAGCAAGCCTCACCATTGCGCGGGGGCCGGGCCCGAGCGCAGCACCAGGAGCGCCCTGCACAAGCCCGATCAGGGGCAGATAGTGCAGCATCTCCGTGGCCGCTGCCACCGCTGCAGACCGCTCCACCGGCAACATCCCCCCAACCTCCAATCCCTGTCGCACCAAACACACGTGGAGCTGGTCCAGCACGTACGACAGCAATGTCAAGCAAGTCCCCACGTGCACAACGCGTTGCTCGACGAGAGGAGGCGTTGCGGCCGCAGGAGCAGCAGCGTGAGGAGCAGCTTGGGCAGGAGGAAGCGGCGGCATTGGAGGTGTTGATGGATGGTGCAGCTGTGGTTGGGGTAAGGGGAAAGGGTTTGCGGGCTGCTGATGCTGCTGGGCCAGTTGAGACGCTGTGGGAGGAGCCGCCTGTGGCCGCGGCGGCGGATTCGACGGAAGGGGGGCAGACGCCGCGCCGGTCCGCTGCTGGGACTGCTGCCGCCTCTGCCGTCGGCTTAGCCTTGCTGGGGCAGCCGTCGCCGATGCTCCAATGGTCGGAGGAGGGGCCGGATGCGGAGGAGGCACAAGGGGAGCCGGGACTGGCGGATCCACCGGCGCAAGAAGGGGCAGAATCCCCGCCAACGCTCAAAGCGCCTGCGATTGCCGTGGCTGTCGCTGAGGCGGTGGGGCGGCAAGAACAACCCCCGATCGATTCGTCTGTGCCGGCTGCCGCTGAGTCCGCCGGAATGCCTGCAGCTGTCGAGGGCGCAGACATGCAGGAGCACGGCCCGGCGGAGGGTGATACCGAGGGTCCCGCGGTCGTCGCCGCTGCCGGCGAGGCCCCGGCGAGGAGGAAGCAGAAGTCGCGCGCCCAGCCAGCACCGAGGCGGCCTGGAGCAGCGCTGGGACCTGGGGCCCCGGGACCCCTCCGGGGCTGGCTTCGGCAAGAGCAGACGCCACCAGTGCGAGGGCGTTCGTTGTCATCCGCGCCTCAGCCTGCAACGGGGCTCAGCGAGAGGAGCAACACGGGAGAGGCGGGTCAGGCGCTGCATGGAGCCAGACAGCCAAACCAGGGGCCGCAACCAGCAGAAGGACTGCCCACCGCTCGGCATACAACTCACCGGGAAACACGGAGCGCGACGAGGGGTCGAGGAATCGTGTGGGGTAGGCCGACAGGCGTGGGCCGGGCAACTATGGCGAACCCCTGGGTTCCGGCTGGCAGAGGTTTAAGACCGGCGCTAGAGAGAGGCGGCGGCGCCGATGCGCCACTGGTGGGGACACGTGGAGGGCGAGGCGGAAGGGGAGGTGCGCGAGGGGGAAGGATCCCTTTGCTAGGGGGAGAAGCTGCGATCGCGAGATCGGGCACGTGGCGTGATCGCCACGATCGTCCAGAGCAAGAGCCTGTGCCTGCCACCGGGGAGGATGTGGGCTCTGACAACTCTCAGAGCGGGAGTGCCTTTATGCCCTCGGCCTCAGTGGCATCGGAGGAGTTCTCCTTGGGTGAGGAGGAAGTCGAACATCTGTCAACCAGGAGGCGAGGGAGCAGGGGGAGAGCGGGTGGACTACCACCACCCAGCGACGAGGGAGCAAATCGGGCGGCGGGCGTGGCACCACAGCCATCCGAGAAATCACCCGCTGATCTGGCGAAGGATGAAACCATCTGGCATCTGGCCGGCACTTGGGACACTGCACCACTCAAGCGAAAGGACCAGCCCTTCCTAGTTCGGCGGTTGCCCCCGAAGATCTTGGAGAGCTACACCCTGTGCTTGCTGGCGCCCCTGTTGCGATTGGCCACGAAACCGGATTGTGCAGGTGCTTGGATGGTGTTACAATATTTACCTCGCCTGACCCTTCGGCCACAGCCAGAGCCAGTGGAGGGAAACCGCTGGATAAAAATCGAGACGAGGCTGCACCACTTTAGGCTCGGGGAATTTGCCAACCTCTACACTGAGGCTTGCGCTGTACCCGTTACGGAGACCTCGACACGACACCAACCTGATGACGCTGGGCTGTGCGCAAGAGCGGAGGGGTTGATTAAAAAGGCGAACATTTCAAAGGCGGTAGCCGCGTTACAAGTAACCCCTCTGGCAGAAGCAACACCAACTACACTCGCGGCCCTACAAGCGAAGCACCCAATTGGGGAGATCCCAATCCCAACCTGGGTTACCAACCGCACGGTCTCGCCGATCTCGTCCGTGAGCCTGACCCCCGACGATGTCCGCGAGGTGCTGGCGAAATGCCCGAACGGGGTTGGTGCGGGCCCATCTGGCACTTGCTTCGAGCACCTGAAAGACCCAGCCCACTGCAGTGAGGAATTCCTCATACTCCTCACTAAAGTTCTCCGCCAGTTATTTAACAGTGTGCAGACAAAAGAGGTGCGAGACATACTCCTACCGTCGCGGCTGATAGCCCTCGAAAAGCCAGGAGGGGGAGTACGTCCTATTGCGATAGGGGAGGCGCTACTTCGGGTGGCGGCTAAGGCGGCACTACGTGAGCTAGCGCCGGCGATTAGAGAGTTTTTTCTACCGGTCCAGTTCGGTGTCTCAGTCCCTGGAGGTGCGGAATGCGCCATCCACGCAGTACGCGCCCTGCTCCGGGAGAATGAGAATCACATCGCCCTCCAGCTCGACGTTGAGAACGCGTTCAATTCTGTCGAGCGGGAGGCCTTCTTCACGGCACTACAGATATCCGATCTCCACCAGCTGCTGCCTTTCGTAGGGACGTTGTATGACTCGCCATCTCGGCTCCTGGTCGACCCGGCTATGGGAGTTGACCACATCGTTAGCTCCCGTGGTGTGCGGCAGGGGGACCCCCTCGGACCGCTCCTGTTTGCAGCGGCAATCCAGCCGATCTTGATGTGCGCGGCGTCCACTCACCCAAGGGCGGCTGTCATCGCGTACGCCGACGACATCACAGTGGTAGGGCCGCGGGAGGAGGTTTTCAAGGTGTTCGACGTCATTGTCACAGAGCTTGCTCTACGAGGGCTTCGGTGCAACGTGGCGAAGTCATCGACATGGGGTCCGCAGGATGGGGACGAGGGGCTGGCGGGCCCACCGCACGGCCTGCAGATGAGCACAGAGGGGATCACGGTGTTGGGAAGCCCCATCGGGACACAGGAGTACTGCACAGCACAGGTTCGGGAGACGCTGAACAAAGCCGCGACACCCGTCCCCCTGATCGCACAACTACACCCCCAACACGCCCTGCTCTTACTCACCCGCAGCATAAGCCGCAGGATCTCTTACCTGCTCCGCACCACCCTGAGCGGCGCACTGGAACGGGAGGAGTGGAGGGCGTGGAGTGAGTCCCTGTTAGGGGCGGCGCTGACGGCGGCCAAGCTCAGGATCCCCTCGACCGAATTGGAGCAGAGCCTCCTCTGGCGACAGGCGACGCTTCCCGTCCGCCTAGGAGGCCTTAGCATCATCGACCCCCTTTCTGAGGCGCCGGCAGCGTACATCGCCTCCCTCATAGCGGCGCACCACCTGCTGCAGCAGATGAACCTGCGGGAGACGGAACTACTGTCACGGGAGGTAACCCTCATGTCCAGGGACTGGGTTCCTCCCCCCCCGGAGACGAGCATGCTGATGACACTAGAGGAGGGCTTGCCGGCAGAGGCGCAGACAGCACTCCAGGCATATAGAACGGGCCCGCCAGGCCAGGGCAACCTGCAGCTGATCTTGTCGAAGCACATCAATGTCAGACGTGCGCGGGAGCTGCTAGCCGATACTCTAGTGGACAGGCCAGGGGAGGACCAGGGACATGGGGTGAGGCTGGTGAGCCTGAAGGGGGTAGGGGCGGGAGACTGGCTTCACGCGGTGCCAACGAGATCTGACCTTACATTTGCCCCTGGTCAGTTCTCGCTAGCCCTCGGCTTCCGCCTCGGGATGGCCCTTCCGGTCACAGTAACGTGTCCCTGTAAGCGTGAAAATTCTGAGATTGCAGACTGCAGCCTTGCCAATCACCTGCTCCGTTGTGGTGAGGGGGGGGATGTGGTGAGGACACACAACGCACTGGTCTATACAGCACTGAGGCTGGCACGGGAAGCGGGCTTTAACACTTTCCATGAGACAGCGACATTCTCTCCCCCTGTCCTCCGCAAGCGGGCGGACCTAGCGCTTCAGGATAGGGAGTCGGCAGAGACCTGGGTCACCGATGTAACAGTGACAGATCCGGTGCTGCAGAAGCGGGACCCACGAGTACGGAAGCCGCCGGGATGGGCGGCTAGGGAGGCCTCAGAACGGAAGCACCGCCTGTATGAGGGCCGCCCCGACCATGTAGGCTTCTTTGGCCTAGCGGTCGAGACCTATGGGGCACTAGCAACGGACACGGTGCAGTTCCTACGACTGTTGGCAGTAGCTGCAGCGAGGAAAAAGTTCAGGCAAGGGCCACTCACAACCACAGCCTCCCGCCTCAACGCGCACTACCGCCAACGCTGGTCAGTCATGCTGCAGCGGTCGCAGGCCACCTCTTTCCTAAACAAAAGCAACACGGCAGCTGAAGCAGCCTTCCCCCAAGCACCTTGGGACCCCTGGGAGCGGAGCCTAGGGGACCTCTGGCAGGTGCTTGACGATGACCTTGCTGGGGTGTAAACACCGGGGAGGGAGTAACAAAGGCGGCAAAGGCGGTGTTTGGGAAGGGAGTAACAACGGCGGCAGGGGCGGAGTAGGGCTGGCGGGAGTGAAGGTGTGAGGCATACGTTAGGTGACCTTGTGGCGGTTTGGTTGGTTGTGCCGGTGTTGTTTGGCTTGTTTGGTAGTAGGAGCTGCCTTGTGCAGGATGCCGTTTGCTTGCTGTTTTGCTTGGCTACCCCTCCCCAGTAGCTTGCTTACCTGCCTAGGCTAGCCTACCAGTCAACACCGTCACTTGTATGCCTGTACTCCTTCATCAATATCAATGCATGACCGCTTGAGAGAGGGAAAGGAGCGAGGGTGGGTGGGAGAGTGGGGACATGGAGAGTGAGTGAGATAGGGCATTTGACAAGGCATTTTAGAAACACATATTGATGCATTAGATGGGGTAATGATGCTTGTGATAGAGAGGGTTTATTTTGGATTTGGTTGCATCAATGACACGGCTCCAACCAGAGAGAGATCAAAGGTGCCCCTTAGAAGATGGTGAGGTGGTCATTGTAATAAACATATCTTAGAAACACAAAGACAGTCTACTAGATAGGGCAATGATGCTTGTGATAAAGAGAGTTTATATTTGATTTGGTTCGATCAATGACATGGCTCAAACTTGAGGGAGATCGATGGTGCCCCTTAGCAGATGGTGAGATGGTGGTTGCAATAAACCTAAAAGAGCTGATCAATGGTGGCACAAGCCTCAGAGAGCAGATCAATGGTTCTCCTAAGCAGCCGCGCAACATCCCCCTAGTCCAGCCCTGCACAGTAAGCGATGAGCGGTCACCACATCACACCTTGTGCCCATGCCACCAACACTCCAGCGAACTACGCGTCCACGTCAGCAAGGATTGCCACGTTGGCAGCTAGCTAGAGCTGCATCAGCCAATCACGGCGCTCCTCGGCCTTGTAAACCCACCCATGCACCTCCCAGGAGGGCTAGTAGGGGAAGGAGGGCGAACTGGCCGAGAAGAGGGGATGGGAAGGAGGGGTGAGACCAAGGGCGAGGCAAAAGGGCAGGGCGTAAGGGTTAGGGAAAATGGGAGAGCAAGTACTCCTGACATGATTGTGGCGTTGCTGCCCTTTCCATCCCACTCCTCACCCTCACTACCACTCGTCAATCTCACCGCCAGTCCTCATCCTTACTGCTAGTCCTCACCCCCACTTCAACTCCTCTCCACGACTTCCCCTTACACATGTGCTCCCATTTCCCCCACCAGGTGAGCTGAATAACAACTACATCACCTCCCTGCCCTGCTTCCCCAAATCACACACCTGCTCACTTGCCCTTGGTTTCCCCAATGCCACTCCTCACTTGCCGTCACCTATGCGTATGTGCATGCTTTTAGGCATCAGGTGACGATTTGTTTTGTGTGCCCCCGATGCTACCGCCACCCCTCACCTAGCGTGTATGCCCTTCTGTCACTCCCAGCCCTCACATGTTGTCACTTGTGCTAACGCATATGCCTTCAGATACCAAAGCAGCACAACACCCTTCAATGGCCGGTGGAGAGAGGCGCAGGAGGGAGGGGTGACACGTGCCCCTTGCTCCCCTCTGCATTCTGCATCTTGCTCCCCTCTGCACTGCCACTGCCCACTTCGCATCCTCTGTTCTCATGTATATGTGCATTGTCAATCCCACCCCTCACCTGTTGTCGCCTGTGCGCACTCGCATACCTTCAGACACTAGGTGACACATGCCATCTTTCCCTCATATGCCACTGCCACCCCTCCTCAGCCCTGCTTCTCTCAGCATACATTATGCCTCACCTACCGTTGCCTATATGCATGTGCATGCCTTCAAACACCAGAGCAGTGCAACACCTCGCAATATCTATGGGAGAGAGGCACTGAAGGGAGGGGTGTGAGAGCGCCACCGCGATCCACAGCTCGTTCACCCCTCGCACCTGCGTGCAGAGGAGAAAGAGGAGAATATTTGGCCTCCCGACCCCGCAGTTGAGTGCTTTCCGCGTTACCTTGCTTTAGCGACAGCCTCCGAGCACCTGCTTGGCCGATGCACAAACGCCACTCACCCAAAAATATTTGCTCTGTGCAGCATAGCCATTGGTGTCATCCTCGCTCCTCCCCCTTTTTGGCGCCAACAATACCATTAGCTCCGCCCTCCCACGCCGCATAGCCTCGGCGGAGGCCACCCTGCCTATCGAGGCCCTCGACCTCGTGCCTTGCTTACGGGAAGGGGAGGAGCAAACCTACATCCAACGCTTCATCTCCCTCCATGTGCAGGTGGCCCACTTCGCTGACGCCTGGGGGAAAGGAAGAAGCTGGCCCTGAACCCCTCATGAGGCTACACCCAGCGCCTCCAATCACTCCTCGACCTGGAAGCTGGGGACTGGCTCACGTCCATCCCCCTTTCCAAGTCCCACCGCATGACTGTCCCCCCTTCACATCCGTGGATGCATTCCGCCTGGGGCTGCCGCCATTGTTGCAACAATTATTCTGGACAAGACAAAGATTATGGACACACGCCTCCCAAACCACCTCCTTCATTACAGAGCTGGGTAAGGGCGCACCGGGACCCACTCTGCAACAAGTGTGGCCGAGGTGACCTTTGATTCGACTCAAAGTCACCTCGAAAAAGAAGAGGGATTCGCAGTGCAGTTGGAACTCTATACAAGCCAGGGGAGGGCTTGAAGGCGGACTTAGCCATTAGGCACCCAGACTCGGGGGCGGTATCGCTGTGTGCATGACACTTATCGACGCTATCTCACCCCGATCCGACTGCGAGACGGGCCGTGGGTTGGGCAACATCCGTTGCAGCACGAGCGGCACGGTTTGCATGGGTGTGCTTCTGACAATGGCAGTGGAGACTTACAGGTACCACTTACTGGGAGTGCTCAATTTCATCCAACTTTGTGCCAAAATGGTAGGAAAGAGGTTGCACAACGCTGAGCCGACCTCACGGGAGGCCATGAAGCTGTACCATTCTTACCGTCAATGATGGTTCGCCATGCTACAGGGTGCCAAACCCAACGCCCTCTTTGCCAAGAACCGTACGGCCTTTGAGGTCGAGGCTCGAGCCTCTGCTCGAGCGGCCGTAGTCAGCTTGCTTTGCTTACATTCCTGAAAATCATATTGTGCTATATCGACCGCTTATTCTGACGAAGGACCTTCTTGGAGAACCAGCGCTATGCATGGACGGGAGTGAAGGGTGGAGGAGAACCGGCACTATGCATGGATGGGAGTGAGGGGTGGAAGAGAACTCACAACATGTTGATTGGACTCAACTCACGACCCGTTGGTTGCATTCAAATCACAACCCGTCGATTGCACTCAACTCACAACCCGTTGATTGCACTCCACACACACGTGAACCGGGGGCTAAGGGGTGACAAGATGTAACATGGACGAAACGAAATCTACCATGGCAGTTACCACTGGTCCCTGCAGCATGCAAGGGGTGAGTTACCTCTTTCCACATCCCCATCAGTCCCACCACCGTACATCAGCTGAGCCAACACATGTGGCACCACCTGAACAAACACATGTCCCACCACCCACACCTGAAAAAAACACCTGATTCACTAGGCCATGACGCTTCTCACCTTAGCAGCAATCTCCCCGAGTGGCATGAGCAAATTTGGGACGGAGAGATGGTTGGAGTCATCATGGAGGGAGAGGGGGGGGATGGGGGACCAGCCTTGGGGGAAGTGGATGGCGGAAGTGAGGTGGAGGATGGGTTGTTTGGGTTTGATTTGCCACACGCTGAATGTGGGGTGAGGAGTGAAGATCCACGTGGTGGATTGTGATTCGCTTTCCGTGCTGCTGGGTAATGAATTTCCTGCCGCTCCCGAATTCCAATTTCCTGATCCCCTTACCAACCCCCCGCACATAAGACCCAGGGGACTCACTTACCGGAAGGTCCTAAATCCGGGAAAAGATGGTACTGCACCCTGATTACCTGGCTGATGCCAGGGAGACGGGAGGGTGTACCAATGGAAATCCCCTCTAATGACTGCCACGTAGGACGACGAGGAGGGAGAAGGTGGGAAAGTGGAAGAGTAGGAGGAGGATGGAGAGGTGTTGCTGTCTTTCAGGGTTTTGGGGCACCTTTTCCAGTGCTTGAGCCTCTCTCCCATCTTTTCAGACAATAGAGCTGGTCTGATCCACGCTAAGTGCACACATCTCAACACGGTACAAGCAAATGGCACCATAATTTTCATACAACATCCTTAGGATGCGTTTCTTAGTACAGGATTCATACTCAAACTACGGTACGTCCAGGCAGGAGGATTCATCAGTTTGAGCATGCATCCACTCTGAACGCGCCCATGCCTATGCATGTACAACATGGGTCTCTCTCATTCTCAGCACCATTCGCAGAGCTCCCCGCCTCCTGGCTTCCATTGCCACCTGCAGCTGCTTAGCACTTGCTCTGAAACATCGGGCACCCGCAGGCAAAGTTGATGCTTGCCTTACCACTGTGCACCACACGCCAGACAGAGAACACAAGCAACAGATGCTTACTTGAATATCAACAAAATGTTCCAAGCGCATCAAATCCCACATCTCATGCAGCGAAAAAAGCGGAAAAATCCCCAAGAATGAAGCAACACAGCATGATGCATACTTGCATACACTCGCACGCCGGAAGGCATAAAGAGATACTTGGAAGGTACACTTACGCTCCATTGTGCATTGAGATATTGTCGCCATCGCCAAACGCCCACACAATGTTGTTGTCGTTGTCAGCCTTCACCTTCACCGATGCCCCATCGCCCTTGTTCTTCGTGAACCTGGTGTGAAGAGTGGTGGAACAGATGGGGACAGGTGAGAGGATGGTGAGCAAACAAATGAAAGATTGTGAGAGATAGTGGAGAAGGAGAGAGGGAGAGTGCTACGCCTGTGGGGCATATATATGAAGGCATGTGGGTGGGAGAGTGGTAAAGAGCGTCAACAAGCGAGCTTAAGGACAAGAATATAATTTATGCAAGGACTGAACTTACGGCGAGAGCGCCTACAACGAGGGGACTTACAACGAGGGATCTGAGAACGAGGGAAACTCCATATTCAAGAGCACAACGCATTGCTTACTTCATAGTGACCTTGCCACCAGACATGGAGATCGAGCCCGATCCGACGGTCCACGACGCATCGTCCGCCGATGACTGCCTGACGAGATCTTTCGTCACTGGGCTGCCCGAGGAGTCAGTGGCGATGGCGTTGCTGCCCGACATGCCGCCATTGGGCGAGAAGCCCACGTCGAACCACCCTGCAGCCTTGGCCCCCGATGCCACCACGACCATCTTGATTGTCCGCCCCTTGGTGGCCTTCCAGTGCAGCACCATCCTGGGGGTTGGCGCGGGGATGGGGTAATGTGCGGGGGAGGGGGGATGTGCGGGGAGGGGGGAGAGAGGGGGGGGGGGGGAGCAGAAGCGGGTGGAGAGATGGGGATGAGGATGGAGCGCGGAGAGCGCCCTAAGAAAATTGGTAGCCCACGGCGAACCACCCCGCCGCCTCGGCCCCCGATGCCACCACGGCCATCTTGATTGTCCGCCCCTTGGTGGCCTTCCAGTGCAGCACCATCCTGAGAGGGGGATGAGGAAGCGGGTGGAGCGAGGGGGATGAGGAAGGAGGCCGGAGGATGGGGCAGCGAGAAGCCAATGGCGAACCACCCCGCGGCATGCTATCACGGCCATTGCACTGTCCATCCCTTGGTGGCCTTCAAGTGCAGGACCACATCACAAAAAACCTTGGTTTTTAAAGGGGGTTCGGAGGGGGGTACAGTTCAGGTGTTTTGGTTGGCGAAGTTCCGAAACAAAAGCGCGACCAATCACGGAATGAATTCGGACCGCGTTTATTTGTCCGAGTCTAAATCGAATCCGCGACTCCGGTACATTGTTGTTTATTTGGATCGTGCCAAATTTGGGATCCATTTGTAATTGGTTTTGTTTGTTTTGACTTATGTAAAATGTGAGTGCTGGATAACTTAACAGGCCATTTTATTACAATATAAATGCATCACATATGATACTTATTAAGGAGATAGGTACTGTCCAGATGGAATGCCTTCACCACATGGACGTGACGGAGCAGCGCTTCCATCGGAATCACAGAGTATGCGTACATTCCTGTTGTCCACTTGAGGCGAAGGCATCCGGTTGCAGCATCCTCTCCGCTTGCGTTCCAATATCTAACGTAGGCTAGCTCCTCCCTCTCTCCACGTATTTTTGTATGGAACAACAGGAGCAACCTTGCATACCACTCCTCTCTCCGACCATGCCTTACACCCTCCACTGCAACATCCGAGTACCACGGCCTCTCAAAATAGTCAGGGGTTGCTCGAACGAAGTGAGAAACTCTTGAGAAGCTGGCATCATCTGCCGCTGGGATGGCCAACGATGCATGGGCCTGCATAACAATTGCAGTGTGTAATCAGTTTAGGGTTTGGGGCAAGAAAAAAATGATTGTATGATCCACGAAGTACTTACTCTGATCTTGGGGACGCATCCAGCATAACGTACTAGCGCATCCTTGAGGGCAGCTTGTGCAACTGGGTGTTGCATGGCCCACTTCCTTGCAAACCAGTTGGTGGAGGTGGGTTCTTCTGGTAGCTCCACAGGGAGAAAGTAGGACTCTTTGATAAGAGTCCTTGTGCCTGTCTCAATGGCCTGCCAACGAACAGTGGCGAGTTTATTACATTATGCATGCATATCTTTGCAATTCAATCACTAGACAGGTTTACCTGCCGCATGGCAGTGTCCCGGCCAAGGGGATCGTCCACCGGCACAACGTCCGGGATGCGCCTAGCATGGAACTTCATAATCTGCCCATCTACATTGCGCTTGTTGGACCGCCGGTAGATCCTCTTTACCAACCGGCCATGCAAGTGCTCGAACATGTTGGTGCTGAATTCCGTGACGTGTCCCGCACGGCGAATGGAGTCGATGTAGTGCGACATGAGATGGGTTTTCACAAGGCACCAAGAGGATGGCTGCTTTGGAAAAGCAGCCTGCAACTGCTCAACCAGCCTGATGGGAGTGGGAGTTGACAGCATGCAAGGACATCAGAGTCTACTACAGCATACTGCAGCCTACTTTATTTGATATACTATCATGGTTTATCAGCAACAACCTCAGAAGATATGTTACTACAACAGCTTAGGTGCCGTGGCCAGGCATTCATGCAATCCCCAGGGTTGTACATGCATGTCAATAGTACCGGGAGGTCTTCTTCTTGAGATCCCGCAGGGACCGCTCAGTGTGCCCCGTTGGCTGGCAACACAAGAGGTACCAGCCAAGATAGGCACGAACAGCATCCATCTGGGGCTGGCGAAGCAGGCCAGGAAATACGAACACCATGACCTGCAAATTTCAGGGTTAAGGACGGCAGGTGGGCATGAGTAGTTGGGACATGCGTGTGCCGATTAACAAACAGGTTAGGGGGCGGAATTGATGAGAGCGGGAGAATGGGTACTAGGATGCAGCAGGGGGGGTGTTGTAGCCTGGAATCACCATCCTGTTTCAGCATGGTGCATGCTGTCGCTCACGAGGATCACATGCACCATGGCTTGCTCACCTGCATGACGGCCCTGTGCTCATAGGCCGCGACACATGCTCCACTCTCGAAGTAGGCGCTCTCTGGCAGGCGCAGGTGGTTCAGGCGCGTGCGGCCGCGAATGAGGGACAGGCGCCTGCGCATACATCCGAGTTCAAGGCCGGCACAAATGCATGGGCATGTAAGTAGGAGGAGAGTGCGTATTGGAGTGTTCTTGACACGAAAGTAATCCCCCAAGGCACTGACCTGTCCATCTGCTTGACGCGCCGCTTCTTCATCTTGCGCACGACAGCCACAATGTGGCTCATCATGCCCAGGTCCGCCTGGTGCATGATGTCAGGCATGATAACGAGGTAGGGATTGCCCCACACGGTCCCTGGGACATCCCATTTCCAGAGCACACACTGGCGGAGGGGGTGTGGTGGGGAATGGTAGCGAAAGGTATATGAGAGACTCGGCCAACATGTGGGGCAGTGCAATGGTAGTGCACATCTCCCCCAGGGCTTCTCAACACGGAGTGCTTAGACAGGAAAGTAGCGCGGTGGACAGGTCGCTCACCTCAACCGGGTAGGTCGAGTAGGTCTTGCATGGGTCGGCCTGGCTTGATGTCAACCCAGCCGCCTCATTCACGATCCATTGCTGCTGTTCAGGCGTGCGCGGCGTGTTCCGTGCCTTGACAGCAACTAAATGCTCCTGGTGTAGCACGGGGGGTGGGATGGGATGAACTGGTAAGGGTGAAAAAATTAGGAGGTCCGTCATGTGACAGTCAGATGACGATGGCGCTGAAGGCGTTCACATGGCATGTTTGCTCACCTTTGCAGCATAGCAGATGCTGCACGGCATCCGCGATCCATGCGAGAGTGTGCAACTAATCTTGCCGCTCTCGGGGTAGTCGCACACCCAGGCGTACAGCAGTGGCCGCACTGTTTGCCAATCACCGAAAGGGTCCCTGAGACGGAAGCCGCTGCAAGGAACGGGTAGAGTGGTAACGTCAACAGCCATGACGACTCTGTGCATCAGCGAGGAGGGGCAAAGGGTAATGCAACATACAAAAGCGCTGCGCACACTATGCTGTGCACACGGTGACGACATAGCATGACGGAAATCGAGTACGGACCTGTCCATGCCATCCAGAAGCGGCTGCAGCACGGTGAGGACGCATCGCTGGAAGAGCATCACCTTCTCAACAGCAGACATTGCCGAAGGGGGGATAGGAAGGAGAGCAAGTAGCGTGTGCCCGGCTTTCCCCCATCGCTTGGCCTGGGAGATGTTGGCAAGCGTCATCATGAGCGGCCACACCTTCTTCCGGCCGTTGTTGCTCATGTGCGTCACATCCGAATATAGGATGATACCCCCCACGACTTCGGACCATCCGAAGTGTTCCTGCATGCACGACAAAGACGGAAAACCCCCACGGTCAAACACCACCAAGGTAATGTGTCGCCTGGCGGATTAAGCATGGTACATAACACTCCCCACTAACATGACGCACTGAAGATGCTCCCTACACATCAGCGCGTCAACGGAGGACGGCGCACGCGTGTGGTTTTGGGTGGCAGCGGGGTATTTACATACCTGAGCATCGTTCCACCACGTTCCAGTTTCTGGCGTGGTATAGCGACGCTCGCCTGTGCCATGGTCCTCATCGACACGAGCCCTGAGCTTGAAGCCGGGCGCGTTGTTGGTGTGCCCAAACACTTCAGCAAAAGCCTGGAGTACGGCATCAAGAGCAGGGGAGAACCAAACAGGGGTTTAGTGGCGGGAGCGGGGAAGGGTCGGATCGCACACATGGACCGAATGGAGGCGGAATCTGCATTTCGCAGCCACGCATCCACGGCCGGCTTACCTGCGCAGAGTTCTGGAAGAGGAGGCGTTGTGGAGGATGACCCTCAATCTCGAAGGTCGCCACTGACCATCCGCGATTGAGCCCTACCAAGCGCTCCATCTCGAACCTCTCCAGATCCTTGCAGTTCCGGATCTCTGAGATCACAAGAGGCGCAAGGCCGGGCTCCACCACGAGCTGAAGCAGGCCATTGATGTCGATCTCCGCCATGCCCATTCCGCCATTTACACGCCTCACGAAGTGCAGCAGCTTCAACGCAATCGGATTGAGAGGCGTCGCATTGCTCTCCCCGGAGATGATTGTCGGCGGGGCCGCGTGACACACTCCAGGGCGGCACCCCGGATCCGCACTCGTGTCATCTGCAGGTGTTCCGGGTGGCGGTTGATGCTCAGATTCAGAAGCCCCCACGTTCCCAGCCGAGGGTGTTGCGTCATCTTCAGCTTCATGCACGCGAGGAGGACCATTCACAGCGTCGGTGTTGGACGCATTAGACGCGGTAGGTGAAGCGGGAGCAGCGGGAGCGTCCGATAGAATCTCTTGCACGAATAGCAGTGCGTGTAGTCCGGCGGATGGTGCAGATTGCGAGGGCCTTGCCACGGCGGAAAGGCCTTGGCAAGGGGTCCGCCGTGACTTGTGACCGCCATAAACTTGGGCGTTGGGGAACCATCTATTGCAAAACTCGCAGACGACGCCAGGTAAGGAGCCCATGCGGTACGGATCTGTCTAAGTGTTGAGGAATGGCCTGTGAAGCAACGAGCGTCGTGGGAAGCTTGAGAAGGCATTAAGTACTCCGTGCAAGAAGGCTGGTAATGCAACACGGTCATCGCCAAACCGCGCACTCTTGGTGCGTGAGAGTCGAGTGGGATGAGGAAGAGCGGGAAGAG